AAGCAAACGCCATTGATCTCTGGACTCTAGAATCACGGAGCCTCGGCTTCCGAAAGAAGATGTGGATGGTGTGACAAATGCGTGTTCTTTCACATGTCACCAATTGCTTTGAAGGGTCACACTCCCTTTCCAAGGAAATTGGCTACAGGCAAGCAATTGGTAGAGTTGACTCAGTTCCAAAGCTAGGATCCTATTGGTGAGGCTTCTTTTTCACACACGACGTCGACGTTCCAAAGCCTCGTTTCGTTGGCAGCGACCATGAGACTCAAACCATTGCCAAATGCGTCTGTATCCAACTGGCTGAGTTCGGTAATCCAACCTCCAATCTTGACACTTCTCATACTTCTCTTACAGGGGAGAAGAAGGATGGTAAAGGACAAAATCTTACTCCGAAGATCTCTGAAGTATTCAGAACTGATCATCAAAGTTATATAACAAGAATTCACAAAACATCGCATCGATGTCCAACAGGGACATCGATGACATCGGCATCCAACAGGGGTATCCGCCAGACCGTCCTCCCCTCCCGGTCCCGCACACCGTGCCTTCCGCGAGCCGCTCAGCCACTTCGGCTCGGTTCCGCTGCCCCACCAGGCCCCTCTCGCTGATGGACGCCACACGAAGGCCAGAGTCATGGGCCTGGTCTCCGTCCGGGCGGCCTTTTCTCGAGGTGGCGATGAAAGACTCCCGACGGGTCTAGGTATTCAAAAGAACCGACCAATTAGCCCGCCTCCGACGAACATCGAGATCCTCGATGTTGGTTTCGCTTTCACGTCCCAACAGCCGGAGGGTCTGCTGCTCGGTGCACGTTGCCAGAAAACGGTAAAGAACAACTTGAAACCCAAAGCCAGCCTGGTGCTTGGTAGGGAATGATGGACAGAGCCTCCACTATTGAGAGTGACCCTCAGAATTCCTTACGACTCGGACCCTCAGAAGCTGGGTGCTCAAGAGTCGAATATGCACCTCTGCTGTCTCCTCTTACGAGTTCAAGCTTACTTGGAACTATTAATATTTGGAACTCATCGACTGCACAGCATTGCACAGTATATGATTTATATTGTTGTCTTAGGGGTCTGACTTCTAATCATATCTTGATTCATCTTGATTCTAATTTTTCTGGTCAGGCCACCCCACGTGGAAAGACCTGCTGACCTGCAAGCGAAGGCACCTCCACACTGATGCCCAGCAAATCATCACCCTTTTCCAAGCACCTCAGCCCCACCCGCATCGGTCCGCATCGCTTGGGATGGCTGCTTATTCTGCAGTGAGTGCAAGGTCTGTCAGGTGTCGACAAGGTGTTCGGGTCGTTGATATAATTACGGTGAAACCACAACTAATCATGAAAAACAGAAGCCTTGTTCTAGGTCTATGCTACCAGGTCAAAGAGCGATCTGTTGATGGATGCAACTTCAAATCCACCATAACTGACATGGCATTCCGAAGATTCCTACGACCTGTCTTGTCAGAACTCCGACCTACACCTTGAATAGCCGTGTGAGTAACGCGGGTGTCCTTTACCTCATTTTATAGGTATAAAACGGTCATGCCAACCCCCCAGTGTAAATAAGATTATTTGAGGATCCTATAAAATGAGAGGTCCAACGTCATTTTTGATAGCTGCAACACTAGTTGTAGAGACATATAAATTCTGCCCCTCAGGTATCTGCCTACATCTTTAGATGTGAAAGACTTTGTGAACCACCCTCACAAAAACCTCAAGTCACTATAAAATGACTCGCCTGACCCGCCCAGTGAGGGGGGTATTAATGCGTTATATGAGGGATTATCCCCCGTCATGTCATGGAGTCATAGAGGAAATTGACACGGGTATCACCTTGATGGTCTTTCCGTCAGCAAGACTTTTGCGGATCCCCCCGACTTTGTCAATCACCCGTATGGAGAAAAAACGCTACATATTAGGTTGGAGGCCATCGCTCTTAGGTTGGAGGCCATTGCTTCTACCTTGGAGGCCATTGCTCTTAGGTTTGAGGCCATCGCAATTGGGTTGGAGGCCATCCCTCTTAGGTTGGAGGCGGTTGGAGCCCATTGCTTCTACCTTGGAGGCCATTGCTTCCAGGTCGGTCGGAGGCCATCGCAATTAGGTTGGAGGCCATCGCTCTTAGGCCATTGCTTCTACCTTGGAGGCCATTGCTTCTAGGTCGGTCGGAGGCCATCGCTTC